GAGCCTTGGTTTCATCATCCATAAAATGGCGATGACGTGGTTTCCCTCACAGGGTAGTTTTAAGATTTATGCAATAGCGTGTGTGTGAAAGAGCATTGTAGAATGAAAAGTACTTTACCAATGTCAGTACTTGACCAATGTTAGTCACAGGTACTGTATCAGTCCTTCTGTTAGGGGCCAGGAGCAATCTCCAGAGCCCAGACTCTATCTGATTGTTTATTTTTTTGAGACAAAGTCTCACTCTGTCGCGCCGGGGTAGAGTGCAGTGGTGTCATCACAGCTCACTGCAACCTCAAACTCCTGGGCTCAAGTGATCCTCCTGCCTTAGCCTCCCAAGTAGCTAGGACTACAGGCACGTGCCATGACGCCTGGCTAATTTTTCTATTTTTAGTAGAGATGGTGTCTCACTTTTGCTCAGGCTGGTCTTGAACTCCTGAGCTCAAGTGATTCTCCAGCCTCGGCCTCCCAGAGTGCTAGGTTTATAGGCGTGAGCCACCTCGCCTGGCTATCTGATTTTTGAAATTGCGTAAACTTCCCCTCTTAGAGACCCAGAGTGGGTAATAGGCAAAGTAGCAGGAGATGGAATCCATACAGCTTGTGGTCATTTCCTTGAGCCTCTGGTCATTGCCTAGCTTTGTGTGCAAGGCCAATGGTATCTGTAAGGCCTAGGAAAGCAGACACTTTGTTTTTCTTTGTTAATACATATTTAAGTGTCTTGTGGTGGACAGAAAGCAACGAGGCTGAGGCTAGAAGATGACCAATGATAGAGTAATTGCCTTCCCTCCCTTCCCCAGCTCACATCCTTCCTGTCCAGCCCTCAGCCACAGGTCACAGGACTTAGTAGAGACACTTCTGTGGTTTCTTCACTGAAATTTGTACTGCCTCTCCCTCCCCTTCCTGCTCGGGGCTGAGGTTTTTGTCTCAGCCCAGTGGACTGAGATGGGCCCCTTGAGGTGGACGAAATGCTCAATGGTGCCTGAGAAACCCACAGTGCTAAAAAGAAAAGGTTGGGGGCTGAGGGGAAAGTCCTCAACTATTAGTCCATGTAAGTCCTATCACAGTAGAACCCTTCACGCTTCCTATCCTACCCCACCCTAGGGTGGGGGACAAAAAAGAGAGGTAAGAGAAATAGGAGTCCAAGGAGAAAGGTAGAGTTTCTTCCCTTAGAGGCCCTGTGCTGCCTCCCAGAGCCCCTTCCCTTCTCTCTGCCGAGCACCAGATCCTCCGTGATCCCCTGACCCCACGGGCACCCTCTGTCCCCTCAGCGGCTCTGGGAGAGCCTCAGCTCTGCTATATCCTGGATGCCATCCTGTTCTTGTACGGTATTGTCCTCACCCTGCTCTACTGTCGACTGAAGGTAAGGCCAGGCAGGGGGAGGTGAGGGCTGGGAGAGGAAGTGGGAGGGTGGCAGCAGCATGGATTTGAGGAGAGGGAATAAAAGGGGAACCCCCACGAAGTTTGGAGGGAAGGGGGATGGGCCACTAACTTCCCCTTTACTGATAACGTTTCTCCCACTCCAGATCCAAGTGCGAAAGGCAGCTATAGCCAGCTATGAGGTATGGACCCTCCCACACCTGCGTGTTGACACCTTTATAGACTCTCAGCCCTGCTGGGGCTCTAGCCTGGGTTCAAGGCCTCTGGGAGGGCATACTTCTCGGATGCTCATCTGTGTACACCTCAGAGGCCCCCCCACCTCATCCTACCCACTCTGCCACCTAGCCAAGCCACAAGTAAAATATTCAGCTGCTGACAGGGAAGAATCAAGCATAGGGTGACAATGAATATGTGAGAGACTGTGTGTTGTGTGTTGTATGTGTTTATGTGTTCGTGGCCACGTGGGCAAATGTGTATTCATGTCCCAGAGCACCCTTGTGAGCGCCCTCTAGCCCAGGGTGGCTAGCCACCCCTGGCCAGATGCCTCCCTGGGTGGGGAGATGCTGGGGGGCCTGAAGGAGGTGCGGGTCTCTAATACCTCGCTCCTTTCACCTCTGCAGAAATCAGACGGCGTTTACACGGTAAGTGAACCTGCTTCCCGACCCAGGAAGTCCGCAGAAGAGGGTGGGATTTTGAATGACCTTCGGAAGGGGCGGAGTCTGTAGAGGTGGGAGGGGTCCTGTGATGGGCTCAAGTTCCTGATCATCCTTTGACTGCCACCTCCAGGGCCTGAGCACCCGGAACCAGGAGACTTATGAGACTCTGAAGCATGAGAAACCGCCACAATAGCTTTAGGACAGATGTGGTCACATCCCTCCTTCGACTTCTAGTTCTCCTCCCAGTCCTTATGGTCGGCATCACCTATGCCTCCATGCTGTTAATGCCAGCTGACCCTACCCCTATAACGATGCCACAGCCCAGATTAATATACACCAGTGGTTCCTCCTCCCTGTCAGAGACTAATGCTCAGATGCTGTTCATGGATGTTTACATTCTAGTCTCACTTCCTTGTCTTACTCTTCTTCCCTTCCTCATGCCCATCTCCCACTAAACAGTAGGAAGGGAATGCTCTCAATAAAGCTGCCACAGACTGGACTCCATTCATTCATTTATCATATATTTACTCAACCTCTACTAAGCATTAGGCTGGATACAGTGTCTCAGTTCCTGACCTCACAGAACTCACAGTCTAATGGACTTCAGGGCTATTTTGCTCAACTGAAGGATGAATGTTGATGGTGTCTGAAGGAGGGATGAGACCTTTGATCCCCAGGTGCTCTGGGCTGGAGCTGGAGCAAGGAGTAATGTGTTGAGAGTTTAGGTACATTCCAAGGCATTAGAACCTAAGAAATGGCTTCTGTACCCAGCATGGCCTTCTATGTCTGACAGTTGAACAAAGGTTAGGTTGTAGATGAGCTTGGCTGTCCAACTCCAAATGGTTGCCAATCCAGACAGTACCAATCCACATGCATATGGGAATTAACATAGTCAAAAAGCCAAACATGCAAAAGCGATGGTTGACTAGGGCTGTGTGAAGCCCCTAATGGAAGGTTTCAATGGAACACTGAGTTTTCAGTGGGTTTGGGAGCAAGAGGGACCTTAGAGAGCCAGATAGGGTTAGTGGTGGGTAGGGCAAGGGGGAACAAATTGGGTCCAGATGGGAGGTCATCTGCCCCTAGTGCACAGGTGGTGGCCAAGGCATCCCCCTGTCAGTGCCTGTCCTGTTTCCAGAGTTTCCAGGAAGCTCTGCTTGCACATATTTAAACCTCATCAGATGCTGCCAGTCCTACTCTGCCCTTGCAGTCCTTTCAGAATGGGTCTAGAGTCCCCAAGCTTACCCCTGGAAACCCCCCATGCTGGACAATACTTTGCACTGCATAGTGACTTATACTTTTCAAAGTGCTTTCCAGCTCGTTGTACCATTTGATCCACTTATTAACCCCGTGAAGAAATTCAAGCTCTTTGAAGTTAGTTAACTTGTCCAAGGTCACCGTGCAAGTGACCGACTGAAATCTCTTTGTCCCTGCACATTTTGCCACATGAGAAAAAAGCAGATATTGGGAAAGAGAAGGGGAGGTGAGTAATCATGAATGGTGGGGATCTAGAAGGCCAGATGAAGGAGGCTGATCAATATATAGAAGAAATTGGGGCCATCTCCAGTGTCTGAGGGGAAAGGTAATTTCAGATGAGATATGAGAAATGAGCCAGGGTAGGGAAGTTGCTCTTTCTTTGAGATGAGGTCTCACTATATTGCCCAGGCTGGTCTCAAACTCCTGGGCTCAAGTGATCCTCCCACCTCAGCCTCCCAAGTAGCTGGGATTACAATCGTATGCCACTTGCCTGGTTTAGGGAAGTAACTTTTTTAAAGATAAAGCGGGGATAAACTTTGACTGGAAAATGCCTCATTTTCCCTTGCCCTACATTATGGCATTGTGAGTCTCTCCCCATCAAGCTAGCCTGATTTTCATTCCATTTTTATTTATTTTTTTATTTTTTTATTTTTTTTGAGACAGAGTCTTGCTCTGTTGCCTGGGCTAGAGTGAGTGCCGTGGCGTCAGCCTAGCTCACAGCAACCTCAAACTCCTGGGCTCAAGTGATCCTCCTGTCTCAGCCTCCCAAGTAGCTGGGACTACAGGCATGCGCCACCCTGCCCGGCTAATTTTTTTTTTCTACATATTTTTAGCTGTCCAATTAGTTTCTTTCTATTTTTGGTAGAGACAGGGTCTCGCTCTTGCTCAGGCTGGTCTCGAACTCCTGAGCTCAAACGATCCGCCCACCTCGGCCTCCCAGAGTGCTAGGATTACAGGCATGAGCCACCGCGCCCGGCCCATTTTGATTTAATTTAGGTATCGCAGCTCCCAAAGTTTCTCTAGTCCCATGTGTCCACCAAGTTTGATACCTATCAGGCCTTAAAGTGGCTCCCATGGCTACTAGTTCCAGGCTCTAAGATGCCTACCAGGCCAGTTCTAGGAATAGCACCTGGATAGTGGTCGGGGAGGGGCTTGGAATGGGTCTTCCTCAGAGGGTCCAGATGAGAGGTTTTGAATGCAGGAATCAGAGCCCTTTTGGGGAGAGGAGTGAACCGAGGTCTTTTATTGTGGGATGGGAGGAAACACTGTGTTGCCCTAGCTCAGAAGGGAAGGGTCTTGGGTGACACTTCTGGTTTCATTTTTTTGGAAGCTTTCCCCTCTTCACAGAATGATTAGGAGGGAATTCTGAGGTGTGCCCTCATTTCCTGAGACCTCCACAAGTCTAGGGATTCCGTTTATGAATCCTCCATGCCTTTCATAGTTCCATGTTCAACGCAGAGGCTCTTTAGTTCTCCACTACAGAGCCATTCCCGGGCCTGTAGGAGAATCCTTGCGCTTCGAAAACAATCACCCTGTCATTTCCATCATTTGTCTCTTCAACATTTCTCCACACCCAAATCCCCCTCCTTTTAGAAACAAATTTCTCCTTTTCCTTCCTCCTACTACTCCCTGACTCCCCTACTTTTCCTAGTCCCCCCAGACACACCAGGCTCACAGCTTGACTCCTGCAGCATTTATTGTGGCAAACAGGGAGTGGGTAGAGGGAGGGGCTCTAGGCCCGGCCAGTGGGTGTTCTAGAGGCCAGCTGGGGCCGGAAGATAATGGTCTGGACAACTCACTGGGTGGAAGGTTGTTTTCCAAAGTTCACAAAATAGTTAAACAGTTTAACCAGATCAGTTCCAGCCTTCTTGACCACGGGTGTCAGCTCCTCCGTTGACTTTTCAAAGTAAGCCCTGGATAGGTGAGGAATTAGATGTCAGTGTGAGAGACCCTAGGCAATGGCAGGGACCATGATGGTGGTGGGAGGTCAGAGCAGACTGACCCAGGTCCCCAAACTCTAGTGCCTGGTCCCTCCTAGCATGGCAAAGCCCCTAGGCAGGAGGAGAGGCAAGTCTTCCACTGGGCAGAGGAATAGACGCTAGAGATTGAGATTCAAGGCCCAGTTCCCACTGCTCCTATCTGTCCGAGAAGTGTGTGGGACTTTTGGATGATGAAGGAATTTTTCTCTCCAATTTAAGCCTAATCCTCCCTAATCCCCACCCCTGGGTTCCATCTTCTGTGGGACCATCCATCTTTCCTTCTTTGCCTCCAGTCCCACAGCCTCTGAACTCCTTTCCCTGAGACTTACTTGGCTTGGGTCTGAAGCTCCGGGACCTTGACCTTCTCTACCAGGTCCTTGCCATAGTCGGTGATGCTCTGGAAGTACTGAGAGAACAGGCTCTGCAGACTCGGCTCCTCTGCCTGTCTCCGAACCAAAGCTCCTGGGTGCGGACACATACACACACACACACACACTCTCTCTCTTCAGCTGGGTCCACAGTAATGAATCCTGGCCTCCAGCCACACCTCTGCCAGTACCTTACCCCAGCTCTTGGCCCCCTCCTTAAAAAGATATCCAGGTAGGTCTTTTTTTTTTTTGAGACAGAGTCTCACTCTCTTGCCTGGGCTAGAGTGCCATGGCTTCAGCCTAGCTCACAGCAACCTCAAACTCCTGGGCTCAAGCCATCCTTCTGCCTTAGCCTCCCGAGTAGCTGGGACTACAGGCATGCGCCACCATGCCCGGCTAATTTTTTCTATATATATATTTTTTTATTTGTCCAGATAATTTCTTTCTACTTTTAGTAGAGACGGGGTGTTGCTCTTGCTTAGGCTGGTCTCGAACTCCTGAGCTCAAGCAATCCTCCCGCCTTGGCCTCCCAGAGTGCTAGGATTACAGGCATGAGCCACCGCGCCCGGCCCAGGTAGGTCTTTGGATGGGCTTTCTGGGCTTTAGTGAGGGAATGATCTTCTTTTTGAGCCCTCAGGTTGCCAGACGGATGGTAGCTATGACCCCCAGCACCTTCTCCCCTATTGGCCCCTTTCTCCATATCACACCCACCTTCAAGTCTATAGATGGTGAGCAGCAGCACAGTCATTGCAAGCAACTTCATGGTGGTGACAGTAGGGAAGGTGGCCTAGGAACAAAGCTGGTAACAGTAGGGAGGACACTGAAGCTAAATGGGCTTCAGCCCCTCCCCAGGGATCTCCCTAAGTAGATCTCCAACCCGGTTCCCTCCCTTTCCACAATTAAAGTTCAGTCCTCTTTGGATGCTGCCCATACCTCTTACTCCCTTATTCTACCTAGTCAGCGTCTCTGTCCTTGGCGTCTGTTCCTGGCCTGGCTGGAGAGGTAGGGGCTATATACTCGTCTCCCTACCCACCCACAGTCAGGTGACAGGGACTGTGTGGGCTCAGTGGGGCAGGGGCCATGTTGGAATAAACAAATTGGAGGAATGGGGGAGGAGAGGACAAGTAAAAGGGGGGGCTCCATGATGGGGTGAGAAACAAGTGGTACAAGCCTTAGTGGAGGCCAAGCTGGTATACTCCAGGTCTATGGAAGATCCATTCTCTTAGGGTCTGGGGTGAGCAATCCTTGGATTTGAATGCAGAGGGAAGCAGGATTCCTAGTTATTTCTCTGGAAAGCTCTGATATATCAAGCCCTCAGTTCTTGGTATCTTTATCCCATTATGGGTAGATTTCATCTCCCCAACCCTACCCTGCTTCATTGCAACTTGGCAGGGAAGTATTGAGGAACAGAAGAAAGGAGAAAGGAGTTGAAATTAGGGGCAGGGGTGAGGGGAATGGGGGTTAGGGGAATGAAAGTCAGGGGCAGAGGGCAGGTGTGATTGACTTTGTCCCTTTTTGAGTTAATATGTAATGAGATAGGGGAAGAAAACATGAGAGCCCAGAATGACCAGGGTGCTGATCAATGAGCATACCCTACCCCCAATAAAACAAATTCAGAAAACGCATCTGCCCTCCCCCTCCCAACTGGAGGGCTCTCGCAGGAAGAGGTGAATAAGAGGCTTCTGCCAGGATAAAGGTTGAAGGTGACTGGCCATTTGATCGCATTATCGGTTCTAGGCAGTAGTTAGCCAATATTGAGTCAGGAGAGGCTATAGCACTATAGCATCCCTCTGGCCAAGGCCCTGGCCCTTGTCCCAGCCCTGATTGTGAGGGGGGAAGAAGTACATTCCCCAGGCCCAAAGCATGTGAGTGAAGTCAGCCAAATAGATACCAGAAGCATTTGTATCTTTCACCCTTTTGACCCCAGAGCTTACTTTCTGTGTAAGTGGAACATTCCTGAAAGGTGTGGGTGGAGGAGTAGAGCTAGTGAGGGAGGTAGTGAACAGAGACCAAGAAATCTTTCTCCATCTTCAATTATTCCCCTGTGAGCTCTTAATGCTTGGTGGTCACCCCCTTGGCTTATCCCTGGGCCTCGGGTGGAGCCCATTTGGAGGCTGGAGTCCATATTCCTAGATTTTATTGGCCAACTCTGCCTGGGTACGCAGGGAAGAAAGAGTTAACTGCAGAGGGCAGCTGTTTCAGGGAATAGTTCTGCTAGAACCTACCCCACTGCCCCAAACTCTGCCGCCCATTCCCATTCCACCAAGAGGGCAATAGGGGGAACGTTGAGAGATGTAGACCGCCAGAAGGGAAATGTGGGTCCACGTCCTAAGAAGAGCGGTGCTTATGAGCAGCACTCATTTGGAGGTGTACTGTGGAGGGCTGTGAGAATTCCCCACGGGCTCTACGGGAAGGAGGGAGCAATATAAATGAACCAAGGTTCGAAAGAAGTCTTCAGACTCGTTCCCTCTGTCACCCTTCACAATACCCAAGTCTTCAGGCTGTAGTTTCACTTTTCTCACGGGTTGTGGAAGGAGCTTCAGTGGCCCAAGCTACAAGATGCTCCCTCTAGTGTCTTGCAAGCTCACAGGTTTTTCCCGACCTTGGAGAGGCTTCGCTTGGCGATATAAGGCCTTCTATTTCAGTCTAAGGAGCCACCAACTAAGATCCGCCCAGCTCCGCAGCGCCGGGGCCGAAGCTCTCTGGCCGTCAGGCCTGCCACTCCTTTGCTTTCACTTCTCCCATTGGCCCCTGGGAGATCGAGGAGGCTTTTTTTCATAGATTGGGCGGGGCCCAATTAGGGGAGGGTTGGGTCTTTGATATCTTTCTTTGCCCTATTCCAAGATGGCGCTCAGAGCCACGCTGGTAATGCAGCGTGAAGCCGCAATTCTGCCATCACCCAAGATGGCTGCCCCCATCAAGATGACCGGGGTGTGCCGGAGGGAAAGGGGCAGTATGATGGTCTGACATGGTAAGGGATACTGCTCCACTGCGAGCCTGGCCTTGGGGCCTGGGAATGAAGAGTAGAGGGAATAGGAAACTAGATGAGGTCTGTGGTAGGGGCTAGGATCAGAGAATGGGAGAGATGACAGGGGTGACAGGTGGGGGTGAAGGATCAAAGACGGGGCGGGAGTGTGCCTGGGGTTCATGCTCCCCATCAGTGCTCTCTCCCCCAACTCTTCCTGTTCCAGGTCTAGCGTCGGACCATGTGGAAGTTTCTAGGACTGGGGAGCTGGATGATGGGGGGTGGGGCCCGTGGAGGGTAGAGGGAGCAATAGCGTTCTTTCCCAGGCTAACCTCTGCCCCTCCCGGTCCTCTGGACTAAAATGGGGAATACGCTGGGCCTGGCACCGATGGGGACTTTGCTCCGCCGGAGCCCCCGCCGAGAGGAACCTTTGCCCAACCCTGGGAGCTTCGATGAGCTGCATCGGCTATGCAAAGGTGAGAACTTGGCATTTGGGTGTCTTAAGATGAAGGTGCAGACGAGGGGAGGGTCTTGAATGTGTCTAGCGATGGGAGCAGGAAAAAGGAGATCACAGCTGGGTATCCAGCGTCAGGGAGGATCAGGTGCCCAAGTGAAGTGGAGCATTTCGTTGCAGGACTTGAAAGGAGGTCAATTCCTCCAAGGTGCTTCCTATGGGATTGAGAGGGGAGACTACCGCCTGGGGTAGGGGTTCCTTGTCTGTGCTTACTCCTTCCCTTCCCCTCACTCCCTTCAGATGTATTCCCTGCACAGATGGAGGGAGTGAAGCTCGTTGTCAACAAGGTTCTGAGCAGCCATTTCCAGGTGCTCCCACTTCTCTGGCCCCTCTTTACTATTCCTCCTTGCCTGTTCCTGGGTCCTCTTCTCCTTTCCTTTGTACTCCAGCCTTAGCCAGGCTATGTGGGACAAATAAGGGAGGATGTGGGGCTCTCTTTACCTCCCTTGCCTGTGAGACTTGTTGCTTTCGATCTGGTGACCCTTTGTATGTGTTGGAATATTTGGGATTCTTAAGAGGCCTTCTGGATGGGGAGAAGATGAAGGGTGGGATGGGATTGAAATGGAGCAGGAATGCAATGCTCTCTTCTCCATTGACGCCTCTTTCCTCAGGTGGCTCACACCGTACACATGAGTGCCCTGGGCTTGCCAGGCTATCACCTCCATGCGGCCTATGCAGGGGACTGGCAGCTTAGCCCCACTGAGGTGAGGACTCCACACACGCGGGCATCTCCCTAAAAGCCCACCTGGGGTCCAGGTCTGGTGGAGGAGGAAATGTGTGTTATGGCGAAAAATGGTCAGTAACCTGATTTTCTCTGTCTCTTCTGAATGGCAAAGAGCAGAGAAACAGTTGTGCAAAGAGCCCTGTTTGTCTTTGTGCCTCCACCAGGGGGCGCAGGGTGCCGTTAATGAAATCCTATATTTGGGTTTAGGCTGAGTGGTGCCGCCCAGCTCAGCCTTACTATTGTCTACTCTTCTACAGGTGTTCCCCACTGTGGTAGGGGATATGGACAGCAGCGGCAGCCTCAACGCCCAGGTCCTGCTTCTCTTGGCAGAGCGGCTCCGAGCTAAGGCTGTCTTCCAGGTGACCCACAGTTCCTGCCTCCATCCATTGAGGCGCTTCCTTTCTCCCCCATGAGTTTCCTGCTCTGGCAGATGGGGGCGGGGAGCAGAGGCCATAGTGATCAGAAAGAGGGAGGGAGATTTTACTTCTTGCTCTCCCCACCCAGACGCAGCAGGCCAAGTTCCTGACATGGCAGTTTGATGGAGAGTATCGGGGAGATGACTACACAGCCACTCTGACCCTAGGAAATCCTGACCTGATTGGGGAATCTGGTGAGGGATTGGGTCAGGGTTCTTTTTATCTTGGCTGCCCATTTGCTAATGTTGGCTTTGCCTCTTCATCTTCTGTACAGTTCGGGGATTAGAAAAGGAACTTCTTGGGTAGACTGGCCTGATGGTTACTGGGGGTGAGGGAGCAGGCTCGGGTGTTGTTTCTGTGACTGACTCCATGTCTCCCCATTCCCCCACAGTGATCATGGTCGCTCACTTCCTACAGAGTCTCACTCAACGGCTGGTGCTGGGAGGAGAGCTAGTTTATCACCGGCGGCCAGGCGAAGAGGGGGCCATCTTGACACTGGCTGGGAAGTACTCGGGTATGGGGCGAAGTGGAGTAGTGGGGGCGGGGAGGCAACTCTGGACTTTTCTGGGGTTCCTGGCCTGTGTCCTACTACAGTAACACTCCTTTCCCCCTGTGCTTTGGTTTTTACAGCTGTACACTGGGTAGCTACATTGAATGTGGGATCAGGCGGGGCCCATGCCAGTTATTACCACAGGGCAAATGAACAGGTGAGACCACTGATCTTATCCCCCAACCCAGCAAGCTGGTCATGAACTTCTGCGCCTCTGGACCTCCACAGGCCCTGCTGACTTAGTATTCTTCCTACCCATGCTACATATACATTGTCATGCATGTCCTCACTCTGCTGATCCCGTCAGGACCCCTCTAGTCTTCACTGACACTGATCCCTCTCATCCTTGCGCATGGTTCTCAGGTTCAGGTTGGAGTGGAGTTTGAGGCAAACACAAGGCTACAAGACACAACCTTCTCCTTTGGTTACCACCTGACTCTGCCCCAGGCCAACATGGTGTTTAGAGGTGAGAGTTGTTGCTGAGGGATGGGGGATGCGGAAGGAGGGAAGCTCTACCTTACCTCTGCCAACTCCTTTCTCCAGGCCCTGTTAAATAACCCAGTTGGTATTCTCTCCCCCAACAGGCTTGGTGGATAGTAACTGGTGTGTAGGTGCTGTGCTGGAGAAGAAGATGCCCCCCTTGCCTGTCACCCTAGCCCTTGGAGCCTTCCTCAATCACTGGCGCAACAGATTCCACTGTGGCTTCAGCATCACTGTGGGCTGAGGTGGTCCCAGAGCCAGTCCCCACAGCAGCTGGAACCTCTGAGTCAGGTGCCCTAGGGCCAGAGACTCGGCTCCTCTCCAGAGTCCACCTTGCTGGGTGACCTCTAGGTCCCAGGAACAGAGTGGGGGACAGGACCATACTCTCCTCAGAACTGGAGCTGCCACAGGGGCAGCTGATGAGGCAGTGGTTTGAGGCTCCAGCCACTACTACGAGCCCCACTATCATCTTCCCCATGCTCTTGTGGCTTTGGACTAAGGGAAGAGGATTAAGGGGTATGTCTGGCTGAATTTCTCCCCTGCCCCACTTCTTTCGTCATTTCTCTTTGGTTAATCCTGCATGGGATTAGCTTACCACCCTGTTTTCCATCCCAGAGCCTCCAAAGGCTGGAAAAGTAGGGCTGAAGGGCCAAATCTCTGGCCTCAGAAAGCGGGGCCCACCCATTCCCAGAAGGAGCTTCATTACCTCTTAGCCCTGAGGCTTCCTCCTTCCCCATCTTCTGTGCTTCCAGAGAACAACTTTATTTCCATAGTCACCGCCCACTACCCCATGACCGCATGAAGAGGCAGTTATTGCTTTAGACTTTCATTGCAACCACTGGGCTCCCTTTCTCCTGGGCCCAATCTCTGGTCACAGCATTTTTCTCTTTCCGGTCCAGTGTGCACCAGGTGAGCTGGGGAAGGGAGGGAGCCTGGGCCTCAGCTGCAGATCTCCTGGATCAGGGGCATCATGGCAAGCAATCCCTGGATGCGCTGGATTTGGTACCTGTATCTGTCGTTAATGCTCCGAAGCTCAACTAACAGGCCTAGCAGCTTCGCATATAGAAACCTGTGGAGGAAGTAGTGTGGTTGCCAGAAAAATAGGAGGGAAAAAAGGCAGCTGAGAGTCTTGTTTTGAGGCCCTGATCCCCTAAACTGTCCCTCAGTGAAACTAGGTCTGAACATTAGAGAAAATCGTGCTCTGGTATGATAAATTTATCAAAGGTCCCAAAGGTCCCCCAGGGGGCCCTCTGTCTGACACTATCATCTTTCATCATGCCCCATTTTTCCTGAACCCAGAGCTCTGAAAGCCAAGTGTGAAGAAAGCCCTGGACTTAGCTAGAAATTCAACTGTATGGGATCTGAGGGCCTAGCCTTCTAGAGCAGATTCTAGAAGGTGGGTGTGTTCTATGGTATCAAGCGTCCCCTTTCTGGCCAAACTGCCTCATGGAGGAAGTGGTGCATACCTCAAAGCCTGGAAAGATCATGGACTATTGAACCAGGAACTGGCTTTGGCCATGAAACTATGAATGGCCACAACTTAAAAGGAAATGAAAAATGGAAGGAATTGGTCCAATGGAGAGGAGAGGAAGGGCCATGGGGAAAGAATGAACAAGACTCTTAAAAATCTGCTTTAGTCTGGAGTGGTTGGACTAGTGAGGTGATGGATGTCATCAATCTCAGGAATGCTATTATACACAGCCTGTGAGCTACTTTGCATCTCTACTGAATAAAAAAATCTGGAAAAAGTGAGATGAAACAGCAGTAAGAGCAATTTGGATGCTGGAACTATGTGAGACAGGGATGCCTAGAGGGAAGGGATAGACCAAAAGAGACCTGGTTTCCCAAAGGAAAGGACAGTAAAAATTATTCCTCCCAAGCTCAGTGTTTTTCTAACCCCTTCCTGCCTCAGTGTGGCCTCTAAGCTCCCAGTCCCCCACTGTACCTATTCCGGGGTTTTGGCTGCTGGCCCTTGATGTAGCAATGCAGAGTCAGTGCCACCTCCTCCTGCAGCTGATCAATCTCCTCTCTCTGGGTAACTCCAGGCCGGTCTGTAAGACAGGGAGCTGGGAAGGACAAGGTGGCGGGAAGGGGGAGGCCTGCACAGTGCCCTGGAGGCTGAGGCTGGTACAGACCTACTCTGCAAGTTTGAAGGCTAGAAGGCTTGAGACGATGGATTTGAGGAGCTGAGAGTTTGGGCGGGGTGGTGGGGAAAAGTTTCTGGGCTTTGGGAGATGCTCACCGGGAGAGAAGAGGGCCATGGCAGTCAAGAGCACATACTCAGGCTCCCGAAGCTGCAGTTGTCGCAGTGACCCATGGAAGCGAAAGATCAACTCCAAAAACTCTACCTGGAACCCCACTGTGGGAGATACCAGGTTTAGGAGCCTCCGGGTCACCCGCCCACATGCCATACCACAAGGACACATGCCCTCTCCTGCTCTAGCACCGTCTCACCGTGGGTTCCATCTTCCATTGTGTAGCGAAGAGGCCCGCAGAGGAAGTTTTGTGTTTGGAGACAGAAGGTGGAATTGAGTGCGATGTGACAGATTTCCACAGCTGCTCCCTTGAGAAGGGAGATCTGGTCCTCCATGGGCAGGGACCTGTGCAGAGCAGGAAACGCGGGCACCTTAGACCCAAGCCCCGGCTTCAGAGAGGGAGAGGAACTCCTAATCCTGCCTGACACAGTTAAAGACCAAGCTGGGAATCTGAGACCTGGTGCTTGGAAAGGCCGAGGGCCATGTTAATTTTTGGTCACTGACTTTTGTGGGTGGGCGGGTGTGTAGTTGACTGAAGTGTTCGCTTCCTAAAAGATGAGCAGAAGTCACTTACCGGAAGAGGGGCAGGTCCTTGCTGAACTTGATGATTTGCTGTGCCATGTAAGTGTGGATGTCTGCAAAGTGCACGAGCAGAGGCAGCACCGGTGCCGGGGTGGGTGAGGGCTGGTGATGGAGGAATAGATAAGCCGGAGGCTGCAAAGATCAGAACGTAAGTGAGGGGCCTGGCCCAAGGCCCTCCTTTAGGTCTCACCTGCCTTATTTTAAAAGGGGTCCTTGCTGAGGAGACAAAACCCTGGGCAGAGGTTTTGGAGAAGCCCTGTCCTCTGTACTGGTGCATGGCACCCAGCCCTCTCCCTCTGGCCAGCCTCCTGCATCACCCTTTTGCTCATGTTCCTGCCCAAGTCCTGCAAATGCTCACCCTTAAGTGCACAAAATGTTCAAACATGGTGCCCATGTGGCGAGTGTGGGCCCCTAGGAGTGTCCGGATCAACTCTTCCTGCTCCTTACTCAGCTGCATAGGTGCCTGCTGTGCCCGCCGCTGGGCCTGCTTCACTCGCCGCAACGCCAGGGCTTCTGCTGACAATATCACTGTGCCAAGCAAGAGATAGGACAAAGCTATTGAGATCAGCTGACAGCACCTCTCCCTGCCAGTTCCTGATCTGGGGCCCCTCAGCCGCCCTGAAGGGTGGGGGAGGGAGGAGAGTTCCTGGGGCTTCCTTGGGCTTGGCTGAAGTCCCAGAGGCACCAGGAGACAGGGATTCCTGCACACTTTCACTGACCCGTGAGACACTGTAGCAGAAAACAGTGCACGGAGTGAAGGAAGGGAAGGGTGGAGAGTAAAAGCGGCAAAGGTGTGAGGAGACATTTTTGGCTTCTGGGGAAACATTGAAGAGGGAGGGGTCTTGATACCTAAAACATCACCTTATGTTTGCATAGCATTATAATAAGAAAGGTTCTGAGGTTAAATCTCACTGGCTGAAACAGCCCTATGGTAGACAGGGCAAGTATTATTCACATTTTTCAGAAACATAAACAGGCTTAGATTCCAATAACAGGTCCACAAAACAAGTCATGTAGATTGAATTCAAACCAAGATCTTTTGACTTCTACAGCTTCCTCTCCACTTTTCCATATTGAAAAGTAGTATGATAGCATGGGATAAGCAAGAATTTGGGAGTCAGACAGACTCGATTTTGAATACCGGCTGTACAACTTTTTAGCTAAATGGACTTGGGCAAATTGACTTCTGGAAACTCCACTTACGTTGTCTGTTGGGAGCATAGCATAGTTATCTGGCACAGAGAAAGCATTAATTCAATCGTTAAGTACCTACTAGGTGACAGGCACTATACTTAAGAGATAGAAAAGAAAAAGCTAGCCATGCGAACATGTAGGAGAAGAGAAGTTCAGGTAGAAGGGATATCAAGTGCGAGAGTCCTGGGGAAGAGTATGCTTGGTCTGTTCAAGGATGGCATTAAAGTCAGTGCTACTGGAATGGATTGAACAAGGGGGAAGGAGTGGGAAATAAAGTCTGAAAGTTGGTGTGGGGGAGCTAGACCATGAGTTCATGTCCTTTGAGATGGGGAACCATTGGAGGTTTTGAGCAGAAACGTGACATGATCTGATTAGTTTCTTTTTCTTTTTCTTTTCTTTTTTTTGACCAGTCAAGTGCAGTAGTGAGAAGGGGGAAAGTAGTAGAACAAGGAGTTCAATCTGATTAGTTTCAAAAAGGTTGCTCTGCCTGCTATGTGCAGTATGCACTGTTGGGAATCAGGACAAAGCAGAGAGGGATAGTCAGTGGATTTGGGGGATGGTGGGGGGCCAACTCACTGTCTTTCCTCATGCCAGCATCTAGGCACTTCTGCAACCTGCAGGCTGGGCAGTGGCGCCTCTGGGCCTTGCTGACCTCACAGCTTCCAGCAAAGGGACAGATAAGGCCAGTGCTTTTCCTGACTGTTCGTCTGTGAGAGACAGAGATGTTATTAGGGTCTGGGATGGCAGTGAACAGGAGGGTGGGTACGTGAGGGGCTAAGATGGCATGGTCTAAAAGACTTGGGAATCTGGTAACATGGGCTAATCTGAGCAGTGCCCCAGGTCCCTAGGGGTGGGTAGGATCCTACACATCTCAAACATTTCCATCGGGACACAAGATCACACAACAAAGCCTCGTTGATGTAGCACTAGCTTGCTGCTTTGCAGGTAGTGAGTGCACAAGTACTCTTGACTAATGGGCTGCGTCTATCAGACAAACGTTTGGCCTTCTCTCTGTTATTATGCCACCAGTTTATACAGTGTTGTGGTTAGCAAGATGCAGGGTGCTAGCTACAGGGTAGTTAGACTCTAAGACAGAGGAATAATGCAGCTGGACAAGCTTGGGCATGTGCCAGGGTTTAGAGGCCAACCAACAGGCAGTTGGGGGGGGGTTTCTATTGAGGAGTAGGCTGTCACCTGAAGAAACCTTTGCAACCCTCACAAGTCAGGGCATGGAAGTGATAGCCTGTGGCTCGGTCTCCACACACCGCACAGTTCTTTGGCTCATCTTTCCCACTGGCCATGGCTTCAGGTGTTCAGGTGGCTGTCACAGATCCCTGAATGTGGAAGGGGTTAACATTTGACCCTCTTTTCACCAACCTTCTTCTCTCCCTTTTGCAGAGTCTCTTCCCAAACCTGCCCTGGACCTGATCCCCAGCATTACCTGTAGTTCATTGCGTTTAGTCTCCAGTCCCCGCCAGATTTCCTACCTGCTTCTCTCAGGCAGCGTGTCATCTGCAGGCCACAGAATCTGGTGTGGGATGACCCTCCCCAAACTCCCACACTGACCGTGCTTTCCTTTTGATGTCAGCAGTTGCCAGTGATTGGAGTTAGGGATTATGGCCCTCAGTACCTAGAAGGCAAGAGTCTGTGGTATGTGGCTTCCAGTTGCTCTCAGTGACTTTGAAGTTAGGGTGCAGACCCTGGACTCAGGGCAAAGGCTGGGTAGGAGGTTTTCCCAGCATGCCCAAAGTGCTGGCTGGTGGCACAGGGGGAGGGACTTTTGTGGGTAGGGACCTCATGACTCATTAGTGGCTTTGATCTGCAGCCTCCTTTGTACATGGATCCAAGACAAGCTGGGAAGTGAGAGAGAGAGAAATGGAGAGACCCAGCAAGCTTTTTCACATGCAGTATATCAGTAGTAAAAGAATAGGTATAACAATTGCACAAAGCTCCCAAAAGAAAAGTTCTTAAAAAGAGACTGGGGTCTAATTAAGAGCCTATGCAGGCTGGGCGAGGTGGCTCATGCCTGTAATCCTAGCACTCTGGGAGGCTAAGGCAGGAGGACTGCTTGAGGCCAGGAGTTCGAGACTAGTCTGGGCAAAACAGTGAGACCCCATGTCTACAAAAGTTAAACAACTAGCCAGGTGTGTACTGGCGCATGCCTGTAGTCTCAGCTACTTAGGAGGCTGAGACAGGAGGATCTCTTGAGCCCAGGACTTCAGGGCTACAGTGAGCTATGGTCATGCCACTGCACTCCAGCCTGGGCAACAGAACAAGACCTTGTCTAGAAAAAAAAAAGAGGCTATATAAAGAGTTAGAGTTAGAAGGGATCCCACTTCTTAACTAGAGAGTGCTGAGAATTAAATCAGAGTGAACTGATCCACAGGAAACTGTGGATCACTTGAGCCCAGGAGTTAAAGGCCAGGTTGGGCAACACAGCAAGAGCCCATCTCTAAAAAAAAAAAAAAGAAAGAAAGAAAGAAAGAAAGAAAGAGGAATATTTAAGATAAATAAACAAGATTTGGGAACTCTTACATCAGAGCTAGCTTTTTGTGTGAAGTTGCACAAGACGCTGCGTTCAGAGGAATCTCATGCTTGGTGCAGTGCTCTACTGTTGCTGTACTGAAATATTTAATGATTTTTGAACAAAGGGCCCTACGTTTTTATTTTAAGTTGGGTCCCCCAAATTATGTACCCAGTTCTGTCTGCAGTCAATTTAAAGAACTTCTAACTAATAAGCCGCATAAGTTTAAGACTTGAAAGTAGAAGTCTTCACTGGAGTTGTCTACTGCTTCATCCTCACTGAAGAATATTTTTATGTGTGTTTGTGTCTACATCTGTCTATCTATCTATCTGCTTCCCCGACATCTGTGAACAGAAAAAGTCATTTCAAAATATTTGGATGTTTGGGGGATGGGCAATATGTTGGATAAATCTATGTTAGATAAATCTGGCCCCATACAAACTGGAATAAAGTCCAAAGTTTCAGTCTTCCAATTAGAAAGATTTAGCAGGGTGCGGTGGCTCATACCTGTAATCCCAGCACTTTGGGAGGCCAACGTGGAAGGATCGCTTGGAGCCAGAAGTTTGAGACCAGCCTGGGCAACATAGTGAGACCCCCCAGCCCTTTAAAAAATAAGAAAAATTAGCCAGGTGTGGTGGTGTGTGCCTGTAGTCCCAGCTACTGGGCTGAGGCAGGAGGATCACTGGAGCCAGGAGTTTGAGACTGCAGTTAGCTATGATCACAATACCACACTCCAGCATGGGTAACAGAGCCTGCTTTTTAAGACCCTGTCTCTTAAAAAAAAAAAAAAGAAAGATTCTTCCCACTGCAAATCTTTCTGGCTGTTTGCTGTTTCTGTATTATAGTCTTTTCCTATTAGAAATAAGCATTTATTTTTCTTTTTCCTTCTTTTTTTTTTGCTATCATGTCTTCTGCTTCAGTTAAGAGTTAAATTATAATTAATGTTTCTCTAAAGATGAGTTAAAAACCGCAAGTGCAGGCTAGAGTCATAAACACACACACAGACAGAGAAAGAGAGAGAGGAGTCTGAGTCACAAAGAGCCTTGTTTAGGTTCCCAGAATGAATTGGTAGAACCCTTAATCTCAAGTGGTATAGCATCAAACTATGCATAACTTTGCATTTTGAAATAAGCTGAATTCCAGAGAGCACAGATGTTTGGATCTGATCTTTGGGAGATGGTAAGAATATTTGGGTGTATATGTCTGTTGGTGTCTTTGTGACTCTGAGAATTCATAGCAATTTATTAAATCAAATATTGACTGATAACCTACCTATTATACGTTATATACCAGGGATAAAAAGATGAATAAGATGCTCTCTTGTCCTCATGGAGTTTAAATGCTAGTGGGATAGAAAGATCTTTAAACAGATATAAAGAAATATAGTGAGATCAAGGATGGTGCCATGCACAGAGCATTATGGGACCACAGAAGAGGGACAAATAATCCTGCTTTGGCAAAAGGATGTTGAGGAGAAGGCAGGACAGGCTTCCTGGAGGAGTGACAACTGAATTGATGTTTAAAGGATAATGAAGAATTAGCCAGGGGAAAATAAAAGGCAGTCCAGGCAGAGGGTGCAATCTGAGAAGTTCAAGAAGCCAGATACAAAAAGTTACATATGGCAGGGCCTGGGGGCTGATGCCTGTAATCCTAGCACTTTGGGAGGCCTAGGCAGGAGGATCACTTGAGGCAGGAGTTCGAGACCAGCCTGAGCAACATAAAAAGCCCCCCCCTCTACAGAATATTTTTTTTTTTTTTTTTTTGAGACAGAGTATCACTCTTTTGCCCGGGCTAGAGTGAGTGCCGTGGCGTCAGCCTAGCTCACAGCAACCTCACACTCCTGGGCTCAGGTGATCCTTCTGCCTCAGCCTCCCGAGTGGCTGGGACTACAGGCATGCGCCACCATGCCCGGCTAATTTTTTCTATATATTTTTAGTTGTCCGATTAATTTCTTTCTATTTTTAGTAGAGACGGGGTTTCGCTCTTGCTCAGGCTGGTCTCGAACTCCTGACCTCAAACAATCCACCCGCCTCGGCCTCCTAGAGTGCTAGGATTACAGGCGTGAGCCACCGCGCCCGGCCCCTCTACAGAATATTTTACAAATTAGCCAGGCATGGTGGCATAGTGCCAGCTACTTGAGGGTTGCCTGAGCCCAGGAGTTTGAGACGGCCATGAGCTATGATGATGCCATTGCACTATTCGCCCAGGCAACGGAGTAAGACTGTCATCCGGATACTGGTGTCATCCGGATACTTTTCTATTTCCCTTTTAGCTGCTGTCTCTCATAGCCTATTATCCTTTGCTGTCCTGATTCTCTGGGATTCCCATTAGTCTGTCTCAAAAAGACCAAAAAACCTCAAAAAAAGTACATATGATAGAACTGCAAATGGTACATAACATTTCAGGTTGGGAGAGAGCAGAGACAAGGCTAGAGAGATGTGATGTCAGGCTGAAATGTAGGCAGGGCCAGATCACAGGAGACCTCATGTTTCAGGTTAAGCAGTTTGAGTCCATCAAGAAGATTTTAAAGGGTAAGCTGGTCAGATCTGTATTCTAGATATCTTACTCTGCTGGCTATTTGAAAAATGGATTTGAGTGAGCAGGACTGGAAGCAAAGAGATCAGTTAGAAAACTTATGCCATAATGTAGGTGAGAGAAGATTAAAACTGAGCTAGGATAGTGGTAGGATGTAGGGAAGAAAAGTGTTTTGAGAAATACATGGGAAGTGAAATCATTGGAATTTGGTGACTGTAGAATGTCTGGGTTGAGAAAGAAGAAGAGGAGTTAAAGATGGCTTGAGGTTTCTAGCCATGGTGGTGCCACCAACTGAGAGAGAGACTACAGGAGGAGGACAAGGGTCCTCCATACTTGGGCCCTGATCCACTTCCACAGTTGACAATTTAGCAATAAGTTGTCAAGTGTCCATTCTGTCATTAGTTACCATAAGGAGGGACAAAAGAGAGAATCCCTATTGTAGAGACATTTACAGTCTAATTATGGGACTGAATAAATAAGTTGAACTCCTAGATCTTAAAGGAAATATATAGTCAAGCTCTAAATTTTGTGGAGAAGATTATGTATGATATTATAGATATTAATTGCTTCATTTATTCATATGGAGTTCCCAATATGAGTACAGTACTATGTAAGAATCCTTACCTGTGTTAACTCTATAAGACAGATAATATCACCATTTTACAGATGAGAAAACCGAGGCTCAGAGAGTTTAAATAACTTGTACGAGGACCAATATATCCATCAGTTTATTAGATGACTTAACTTGGATGTCACATAGACATTTCAAATTCTAAATGGAGCTAGTTGCTAACCTCCCCCACAAACTAATCTTCCTATATGGCCTAACTTGCTGACTACCCCAACATGTGAAAGTGGAAAGAATGTGGGCTTTGGAGCCACATAGACTTGGGTTCAAATTATGACTCTGGCTCTTGCTGGCTGAATTACTTGTTTTTGCTGCTTCCCTAATTGTTTGCTATGACTGAGACTCAGCTCGAGGTGCCCAGGGGAATCAGGCCAACCCCAGACCAGGGAAGGAAGCCATACCTCTTCTTCCTAGAACAGCACCGAATGCTTAGAGAGAGGATAGACACAGAAAGATGTTCTGGTCCAGGGTTGCCCCTTCACTTGGGGTTCAAGGATTACCCCGAGGCTTGTTCTTCTTGGAGAAGTCCAACTTGAAGTTCTTTGAGATGGGGTTGACTTGGGCAGACCTCTCCGAGCTTGCTCTTCTATGTACAGACATGCTCCTCAGCTTCAGGGGCTCTCCCCTAAAGCAGACTGAGACTGGAATCTGCTGCAGGATCCTCCTAGCATCCATGGTGAACAGGCTTCCAGGGTTAACTGATGTCCTCTCCCTCTTCCAACATGCCTCTTCCAAGCTAGGGTCTGAAAAACACCTGGGTTGGTTGTGACCTGGTGGGTTAAGCTCTCTGAATTTTAGTTTTCTTACCTGGAAAAAAAGAGTAATAACACCCATTATCCAGGTTTGTTGTGAAGATTAAATAAAGCAATATATGTAAAATTTCTTACACAGTGCTTGGAACATGAAATCAATACACGTTCATTCTCTTACCCTCTTCCTTTCCTTCCCCTCCACTGCTACCCTCTTCCAGATGCCAAGCCAGGAACTGGGGCATCGCCTATCGTCCTCTCTCTCCCTCATTCCCTGGCATCATGACCAGATGCCATAGCCTGTCATTCCTATCTTCTGACCTCTACATGCCCACTACCTCTCAGCTGAGTTTGGGCCCTCATCATTTTCCACTTATTGCTGCATAGCCTATTAAATTATTCTCCCCATTCGCAGCTTCATCTCCTTCCAACCCATCCTCTGTGCTGTTGCTATTTCTAAAATGCAAATTTGATCATGTCTCTTCCCTGCTTAAAATTCTTCGTTTGCTTTCCATCACCTTCAGGATAAAATCCAATCTCTTCAGCATGTCATAAAAAGTCCTTTGTGATCTGGCCCCTATTTAATCACTCTGGCCTCATCTATTCTATTCTATTGTCCACTTCCCTCCCCTGACCTAGCACATCACACTTTGGCTCTAGATGTGCTTAAGCATTTAGAGTTCCCTGAACAAGCCGTGCTCACTCACCTCTGAACATCTGTCCTTGTTGTCCCATCTGGCTGGAATTGCCTCACACACTCCCATTTCCAAGCCTTCCTCTCCTGGTCTTCCTGATCCTCTGGGCTCTTCAGGCCTGAGTGCAGCAGATCATCTCTGGGAGCTTGTTGGTTAGAGCTGCACACATTTGTTGCAGTACTTACCACATTGTGGAAGAATTATCTGTTTCTTTCTGACTCTGTCAACCAACCTTGATGAAGTCAAAGGCTGCATGTTTGTTTTTTGGATCCTTAGGGTCTTATGTACTCCAGGCACATATAATAAATGTTATGGAATGAATAAATGGGCTAGGATACGAAGTAAGGTCTGATTTCAAACTCATGCTCTTTCCACGTGGCATCAAATGCTATTATTTCTGAGTGAGTTAATACATTCATTCATTCCATAAATATTTAATGGGTATTTTTACTTCATGCCAGGCATTTTGCTAGCACTGTAAGTTCCATGGTGTCGTCTGGATACTTTTCTATTTATCTTTTAGCTGCTGTCTTTCAGAGCCTATTATCCTGATTCTCTGGGATTCCCATTAGTCTGCTAGTCTGATTCCTGACTCTTTTCTGACTTCTGAAGTGTTGCTACCTGCCATGTTTGCATTTGATATCTGGCTGACCTCAGTCAGGTATCCATTGAGCTAAATTTCTGGGATGGGCCTGTTCTGTCCTGTTTGGCACCCCAGGTTCTGGCACAAATACTTCTTTGAGCAGGAAGTGTTCCTTTCCTTTGAGCCTTGTAATCTGGTTTTAATCTTCTTTCTTTAAATTCACCAATGATCTCCTGTGGTCTGTTGAATTCAGTGGGCTTTCTCTTATGTTTCTCCCAATCAACCTCCCTATTGCTTTTGACGTCCTGACAACCACTTTCTCTTCTTTGAAACTCTTTTTCTCCCTAACCCCTATGATGTCATGCATTCTTGGTCCTCCACTTTTATTTCTAATAGTTCTTTTTCTTTCTCCTCTAATGGATTCTCCTTTTTCCTAGGGCTATGGGTTAGGAAAAACTATGGGTTTTTTTTCCTAAGGCTTGATCTTAACCTTCCTACCCTTCCTCTATCTTCCTTCCTAATAGTTCATTTATTTACAAGGCACTGGTAAAAAGTAAACAGCTCACATTTTAACATCATAGTTTACAGAGTAGCTTTATATCTTTATTTTATTTATCCTCATCTCAATACGTGAATATCTCCAAAATCTACAATTCTTTCTCCATGAAATTTTACTGTTTTTAGTTGTCACTTCTGATGCCTCTGTAGATTAAATCTCATTCTGTTCCTTCCCTGTACTCCCACTGCTCTTGCCCAGACTTCTATCACAGCACCTACAACGATATCATGCCTTTGTGTTCATGTGACTGTCTCTCCCCACTGGACTGTAAGCTCTATGTTATGTGGGTTTTCCTATCCCAACACCCAGCATAGGTCCTGGCCATAATCTGTGCATAATAAATGATTGAATAATTGTCCCAATTTCTCAGTCTTGAACTCCCAAAGTCACTTTGAATCCTCCCCTAAATCTTTTTAGTCACCAGGTCTTATAAATTTCTGAAGCCATGTGTTTCTTTCTTTTTTTTTTTTTTTTTGAGACAGAGTCTCACTCCATTGCCCTGAGTAGAGTGCCGTGGTAGCATCGTCCTAGCTCACAGCAACCTCAAACTCCCAGGCTCAAGCAATTCTCCTGCTTCAGCCTCCAGAGTAGCTGGGACTACAGGCCCACATCATAATGCCCAGCTAATTTTTCTATTTTTAGTAGAGATGAGGTCTCGCTCTTGCTCAGGCTGGTCTCGAACTCCTGAGCTCGAGCAATCCTCCTACCTTGGCCTCCCAGAGTGCTAGGATTTCAGGTGTGAGCCACTATGCTTGGCCAAGCCATGTGTTTCTTGATGCTGTTCCTTCTCTTCTGTTCCTGCCACTACACTCACCCAGGCTCTTACACTTTGTACAACTGCAATGTCCCCACGTTGGCCTCCCTGTTCTTAGTCTTTCTCTCATCAAATCAGTCCTATGTTTCTCCTGTAAGAATCAAAAGGCTATTTGTATGAGGGCTAAATTTAAATTCCTTATTCTGATATTTGCAGGGCCCTCCCATATCTCTTACAAGTTCTCCAACATAAACTTGAATCTTCTTTCATCATTTTTCTCTTGTTATCACTTAGACCCCAGAGACACATATTTTCCTCCTTCATCTCTCCTCCCTTCCTCCAATTGTTTATATTCTACCCTTCCTTTAAGGCCCAACCCAAATCTCACTTTCCCCAGGAAGCTTTTGACTCTTTTGGTCCCATCATATATCTTTCTTGTTTGACCTATTACTATTTGTTATTATACACTTTACTGTTGTAGCATACTTGGGCATTTAATCATCTATGGCAGGGATTGGTAATTTATGGCCTATAAACCAAATGTGGCCTGCTGCCTGTGAGTTAAGAATGGTTTTAAATTAGAATTTTAGAAGAAGAATATTTCCTAACACATGAAAATTATATGAAATTTAGTGTCCACAAATAAAGTTTTATTAGAATGTAGTCAAACCTATTCAGGTACATATTGTCTATGTCCCCTTTCAAGCTACAATGGGAGACTCGAGTAGTCTCAACGGAAACCACCTATGGCCTGCAAAGCCTGAAATATTGACCATCTGGTTGTTATAGAAAAACCTTGCTGATCTTGATCTTGTCTTGAATTGTCTTTATAATCTTTTCGTAGCTGTTTAAGAACTTGGGAGAGGTCTACTTCACTAAAGGCAATCTTTTCAATGCTCGTTAGCTGTTCATTACAAAGATGGAGGAAGCTGGAGGAGTAGGCTGAATAGAATGAGTAGGAGCTAGCCTAGTTAGACACTTAGTAACTTAGGCAACCGGATTCCCATTGGAAGGTGAGAGTCAGAGGATCTCAGGTGGATGAGGGAAAAGAGGTGATCTTTTTTCTATCTTCTCATTTTCTGACCTGTCAGAGAAAATGTAAAAACACATAGGGTCTAGCTAGAGAAATGACTATTTGAGGTCTTACCTGAATCTGGCTGTTGAGAGGAGATCAGTAGTTGCTAGCTGAGAGAACCTCAGCTATTAACGACTGAGTTATAATAGGCCATGAAAGAAACCACCAAAAGGGTGTAACTGCTAAAGCTGAAAGTGTTTGGTCTTGGCTGACTGAAGCTGTAAGTAGGCTAAGAGATTTTACAAAGCCTAGAAGTGTTATAGGCATGAGGATTTAAAGAATTTCCTTAAAGAAGAAACAAAAGCTAGATATTCAGACAAAGAGGAATAGCAGCTGAAGTTATTGGAAAGTTCATGACTTTTACCTATCTTTTTGTCTTACTGTAGACATATTTTTTCCTTAAAAATTATACGGCATAGTAATTATTTAGTAAACTTCCATCTTATTAGAAAACAATCTTTTTAGGTTGGATTGTGGCCTTTGTCTTTCACATCTGCTCCCCACACCCTGCCAGAATGCACTTGGCTAGTTTGGTACTCAAACATGGACCACCAAACGGGTAGGTTGCGGGAAGAAACAAGCTAGACTCTAAGAGACAGGACTTGCATATTTTAGTGGCAACAATAGGTAATAGTGGCAACGATAGTGGCAACAAAGGTCATAATAAGAGTGCCTTTAAAGAAAAAATAATAGCTTCACAGCCTTGGCACAGTGGAGGGCACATTGTAAGACTGAGATGGAATGAATGAGCAGTTGTAAATAAACTTTTGCAGGCAGCTCATTACCTGTTCAAGTAGACACTGGGGGACCATCATTTTGCTGGAGAGGGTTTTGGTTTTTGGTTTTCGGGTGTTTTTTGTTTTTTTTGCGTTGTGTGGGAGGTGGGATTTGAAGAATCCTACACTGTTTTCCAACTCCTAAGATCTATGATGTTCTAAAAGGGCATTTCACTATTTCCTTGTTCTTTACCACAGAACATTGTTCATTTGCTGCAGTCTCTCTCTCTGTCTCTCTCTCTGTCTCTCTCTGTCTCTCTCTCTCTCTCTCTCTCTCTCTCTCTCTCTCTCTCTCATCTGTCTCTCTCCCCCTCCCTCCCTGTCTTCTGCTGTTCTCTTACCCAGGATGCCCTCCTACGACTAAATCTTAATCTGCAACATCCCTGGGCTTTACCCCTTTCATTCACTGCTGCTTCCCATGTACCCTCTTGATTTCCTTCCAGCTCTTCTTTCTTCTCTTTCTCAAACTCACACACTCCTTCCTTTCTTCTCTCTCCTTCCTTCCTTTCTTCCTTCCTTCGTGTACTGCACCTTCCTCCCTCTCCTTCTTTGCTCCCCTTACTTCATTTTCCGTCCTCTCAGCCCCCGACGGTCTCCCCCTCCTTCCCGCTATCTGTCTTACCCTAGTTTGGAAATGCAGCAGACCTCCGAGCCTGCCACCACTGGATGAGAAGGGCTGTCACTCTGCGGTGGGAGGAGCTCCTATTGGTCGGGCCGGAGGCGGGACCGAGCCGAGTATAAAAGGTAGGGCCGGAGGCGGTGCGCTGAGCGGCTCTGGCAGGACGGGGTCGAAAGGAGTTCCCTGGCAGGAGCTGGGCGCCGAGAACGCTGGGCGCGAGCACCGGAGCCCCGGCTCTCCGCACTAGCTCTCCCGTCCGGGTCCGCCGGGGCCCCTGCCTCAGAGCCCGGCAACTCCCGGCCGTCGCCCGCGTAGCCCCGAGGGCTCCTCGCCTCACCTGCGCGTGCCGCGCCCCGCGCGCCGGGTCCGCCTGCCGCGATGAGCGAGGTGAGCGGCGCCGCCTGGCCCCCGGCGCTCCGGGCAGGGCTGCGGCGGGAAGGGGGCTGCGGCTCGGGGTCCCAGGGAGCCGCGGGGAACCCTCCAGTGGCGCCCTACTGCCCCTCTGGGAAAGCCGCCTCCTCGGGGCACCGGGAAGCGATTGGAAGAGGGGGTGTTTTAAGTCTCCCTACCGTGGATGTGCTTTGGGGGTGACTGGAATCGGCTGTGGGGGACCGGGTGGGGCGCTGAGCTCTCTCAGGTGATAAGTCGTCTCCTGGGGACACTGTCCTCTGCATTTGTCTTACTGCCCTGAGGTTATTCTGTCTTCCCTTACTCCCCCCAATTCTCTCCTATCCTCCCTCTCCGAGTGCTGTATTGCTCTTGTACTTCTTATTTAGCATCCAATGAGAACTCCAACCCTGGCGCCTAGGATAGCCACTTTCCCCCTTTTAGAAAGGTGGCATCCTGCCCCCATTCATTTAGTCAGGAACGTTGACGGGATCATTTCTAATATTCAGAAGTCCCTGTAGTGGAGGCATGTCCAGCTCCTGGGGAGATGTCCCCTTCCAGAGTAGACCTCCCTCTGCAGTGCTTGTTACATCCTAGGTCTTCCTGCAGGCTCCGTGGTGTTCACTGGAGCCAGACCCAGTCCACTCACTGATTTATTCTTTACAGAGAACACTGTCCATGGGTGGCAGTCAAAAGCAGAGACTTTGGAAAGACCTCTCTTATTGTCTGACTATATTTGTAGGCACAGCCTCATATCCAGAAACGAGAATCACCCTTCCCTGAAGTCAGTCTGGGTAGTGGCATCATAAGCTTGCCCTCTGCAACCTCTTTCCTAGTGCCCAGGTCCTTGTGTTAAATGCAGCATCTTGGCTATATGCCAGACCCCAGCTCTGCTACTTACCTTCATTGTAGCCTCAGGCAAATTACAAAACCTTTCGATGCTTCAGCTTTTTATCTGTAAAATGGGGATGATATTGGTTGTTTTAACGATTAAATGAGATAATATACGCAAAGTACTTCAGACAATACCTGGCACAGAGAAGGCACTCAATCTGTGTTAGCTATTATCGCCCTGTTTCTTTTTTTCCTTTAGAGTATTACAGAAACCTAGCATAAGAATTCTCAAGGACATAAGGTTAGTGAAGGAATAGAACCCCGGAGCCTGGGTCCCAGTTTAGATACTAAAAATGAAGATATTTAGTAGGAGCTCTGCTGGTTCCTACCAAAAGTTGTCACCCAGGGAGCCAATCAGTGCCAACTGCTCTGTTGTCTTGATTGCCAGGTCCGCTAAGTTTATCCTGGAAAATTCAGCTAGTCTGGGGGCTGCAGATGAACCAAAGTGGTTTCCAGCCTCTCAGCTGGTTGTGACTATGACCATGACAGTCTTTCAGAAAGAAAAAAAAAATACGTGGATCAACCTTTGCTCCTTTTGCTTCTTTCAGCTCTAACATGAGAAGAGAGGGTTTTTTTGCCCTCTTTTCACTGAGGTTTAGGGTTCAAACCACTCCTCCCACCCTAGTGTTTCTAAATCTGAAAGTTGTAATCTTAGCCATCCCCTGGGAGTTTATGATCTGAAGGCTATGCCAACACGAAGATTTGTGGTTAGCCTGTGCTTTTGAGGGGAAGCGCATGGCCCCTCTGTAGGACACACTACAGGGGCTGGCATTCAGGGTGCTATTTGGCAGAGCAACAATGCTGTTTTGTGTCAAGGAAAACAATTTGGTGTTTGGGGGGAAAGTCAAGTCTTGGGGTCCCTCCCGACTCAGCAGGTGAACTTGGCTAGCCTTAATCGGGGCTCAGTAGAATGATGAGGGGCTGAGGGTAGGGTCCTTGGATGAGGACTGTCAGCGTATGCAAGGCTGCCCAGCCTCCTAGGCTGTGAGAGGGAACAGGTTCTAACTAGCAATTTAGCCATCGAAGCTGTCTCCTAATACAGAGCTGAGCCTGGCTTCAGGGATGAGTATTTATAAAATCCAGAAGCAGCCACCTGGGTGTACACAGAGACCAGCTGTCTCTGAAGCAGATCACCAGGGGGTCTCTGCTTCCCTAGGGGCCAAGACTCAACCTGTTTTCTTCCTCTTATAAAAGCTATGATGAAAAGTGGAAGTGTTGCCCAGAGCTCTGGAGCTCTAGGGAGACTCCAAACTGCTTCATTTCTCTCAGCCCAGCCCCATGGGTCTCCTATTTCAGGCTGAAGAGCTTAGCCCAGGAAAGCCCTGTGTACCCTGAATCTTATGTAAGTTTCCCCTCCCCCACCTGCTTATTTTCTTGCTTCAGAGAAACTGCATGAAATGAGAGGATTTGGAATGTCTTTAAGAGATCCCCATTTCAACACAAGAACAAAAACTGGGAGGAGCCTCCAGACCTAGAGCAACCAACAGTGTAGAGGTTCTGGCGGGGTTGCTGGGGAGGATCTGTGGCTCTGCTTTGCCTTTGTGGCTCTTTGCTGTCACTCATTACTGCAGCAGAGCATTCCCTGTGAGTGCGTGTGCATTCGTGCACAGAGGAGCTGCAGGGACTCATCTCCAGCTTGTCTGCATTCACAGCTGCAGGCAGGAGTTGATTGCTATGGATCACAGTCTGTTTCCTCAGTTTAATAACTTTTCCCTAGTTTCAGTGAAGGATGGGAATGGGAGATGCATTCAGTCCCTGAGGGCTGTTTCCTATAATCCCTTCCATATAGTGTAGCTGGCCACTTAAAGCAGAATTGCAGGTTCTTCTGAGATCCTGTTGCATTTCTCATTGGTGAGGAGCTTAGCTGGAGAAATCCCTTGGTCCAGCAGTTATTCTGCTGAATGGGAGTCATGAATTACATCTTCATGTTGTCTGTTCTGTGTTTGGCTGGCAGGGGCTGGAGCAAGGGACAGATCATCTAGAAATCTCATTTAGGGAGATTTCCGAGTGGTGACCAGTTAGAACTGGTGCTCCCTTTATTATTCTGCTTGCTGTCTTCTTACCGAATGGTAATAGGATATTACATTTAGGGGATCATATTCTCTTTCCTGTGCACATCTGTATGCAACTGCAGTCTTCCCCATAATGGAAGTTCAGTCAGAGTGATACCATTCTATTATGTCTTCCATGAGCCGGTTGTTAGGGAACATGGTAGGGACTTGGAGGAAATCCAAGTTTCTCTCTCAATGATGTGCTATTATTATTACGGTTATATTGAACATACAAAATAGAAGAGCTAGCTACTTGTTATTGGAATGCCTTCTACCCTGGAAACATCTGCTTTCCAAAGTAAGGGAAACCAGAACTTGGTTCCTGAGCTTGCTCATCCCTTCCTTAGTCACCCATTTAGGTTGTTGGCTTTAGCTGCTTCAGCAGGAGCCTCTGGCTGGTAGAAGTGGATGACTTTGTCAACCTGCGATCTGGGAATATGGATGACTCTTTCTTTCAAGCTGCAGTTAAGTTACCTTCCAGAATGTCAAGTCTCTATAGGGGCAGGCAAACATAAGTAATGTGGCTGAGGTCCAGATATGCAAACCTGATGCATCTATCATGTCTGCTTATGGAGGATCTTAACTGAGGGAAGTGATAGAGATAGGATTGCGGGTGGAGGGGATGAAGAAAGATCAATACTTAACTCTTCGAGGTGGTGGTTCTTTCTTTCTTTCTTTTCTTTCTTCTTATTTTTTAGAGACAAGTTCTTGCTCTTTCACCCAGGCTGGAGCACAATTGACATGATCATAGCTCACTGTAACCTTGAACTTCCGAACAGTACTAGAACCAAGACTAGGGCACAGTACTGCTGACTTCTCTTCCCAAAAGAACTTTCCTTAGGACTTCTTTAACATATTACCCCAGTAAATAGAGAATGATTTGATCTGCATTTGACTCTTAATGAATATATTACAGATGCTGTTTTTAAGAAATAAAAGCAGAGTAATTTAATAAATGCTAAGCAAGAGGCTAGAGAGAGAGGAGAGACTAACATGGGATAATATTTATCATCAGGGTACATTTTAGTAAAATGTTAGGCAGGGCAGGTACTATCCATCCTTATCCAGGTTGCCTAGTCACCTTAAAAATGGGTGTGGTGGATGTGCTGGAGTGGAGTAGGTAAGCTGAGAGCAGTGAGGGGAGGGGAAGCCTGGAGGCTCTCTTTTCATGGGTTCTTAATTTCAATGTCCGTCACTGATTCCTGTAATTGCAGAGCATCAAAGACTAGAAAGAGGCTGGGCACGGTGTCTCATGCCTGTAATCCTAGCACTCTGGGAGGCCAAGGTGGGAGGATCACTTGAGGTCAGGAGTTCAAGACCATCCTGAGCAAGAGCGAGACCGTGTCTCTACTAAAAATAGAAAAATTAGCCGGGTGTGGTGATGTGCACCTGTAATCCTAGACACTCGGGAGGCTGAGGCAGGAGACTCGCTTGAGCCTTGAGGAGTTTGAGGTTGCTGTGAGCTAGGCTGATGCCACAGCACTCTAGCCCAGGTGACTGAGTGAGACTACGTCTCAAAAAAAAAAAAGGACCAGAAAGAGAGGATTCCTTTCTAAAATCTAGCACACTAATATGAGAACAGTTCTCTTAACTCTATTTGACCTGAAGGACCCAGTGCAGGAAAGCAGGTGTCTAAATAAAATTGGTACACCTGGTGACCAAACAGGCTCTGGATATTTAGTCTTCCTTCATTTGACTTCTGAGCGAGGAGTACAAAGACTTTGGGAAGAGAAAGGTAAGAAAGACAGGGAAAGAAGAATGTATTAGACTGGCAAGATAAATGCTAACAGCCTACTGGAATACCAGATCCTAAGTATATGATTTTCTAAATCCATATTTTAGACCTGCTGCTCAAACTGGCTTGACTTGCCCTAGAATTATTTTAGCTGCAAGAGTGAGCTAAATCAGAGTAGGTCTGAAACCACTTTTCCCAAGAGACCTGCATCCCTGAGAGGTGCCTATCAACAAGTACCTAGAAACCTAGGCCGTGTGGCATTCTCTTCAACGAAGCCTGATTTCTTCTTCCCTCCAGGCTGACTCCGGAAGGCATGCCCA